ATATACAATTAATTACCTACAAATAATCTAGAGAGGCTGCAATCACATTTTATCTGCAACAATATCCTTCAGGTTTGGATGGCATGCACCCCGTGGCAGTCCTCTTGCTGCTGAAGGGATCCTGGGGTGATCTGGGCTTTAATATGATGCCATATCCTCCAGGGCTAATAATTCTTCCTTCCAGGATCCTTTCAGTGATGAAGGGCCACCAAAAGGGTCATTTGAAGAGGAAGACTAGCCTTAGAAGCCCTGAGAGTCCAGTTCCCTTTCTCACCTTTGCATTCAGTCTGTAGGGATTGTGGCCATCTGCTCCCTTTCAGCCTGTTCTTCTTTCATCCTCCCTCTGCAAGTTTTGGATATTTGGTGGAAGGAAGAGGGAGTCCCCAATATTTGTATGCAATGGTAGTAGGAGGTATGTTTTGTTGCTAAAGACTCTGTGCTTCCATGCCTTCCCAGTGTTTAGACACAAGGACACAAATAATGCACACAAATCGTGTTCCACACAAATCATGCAATTTTTCTTTATTCATTCATTGGAGGAGGTTGGTAGATAAACCTAATGCCCTGAATTTCTTAACTGTTATGCTAGCAATCAGAACATACTGAAAGCTGTTTCATATTAGGCATATATAGCTAGAATTTTTTCTAGAAGCAAACAGTGTAGGAGACTGATCACTACATTTTTTTTATTTTGAGTCCCTAGTTTGTATTATATTTGAAAGTTACAGAAAATCACCACTTATTACTTCCATTGTGATCATCAGAACATAAGAGCTTGATGGATCTACAGTAGTCTAGCTTCTTGTTCTCACAGCGGCCAACCAGATGCAAGCAGGAGTTGAGCAATAGAGCACACTCTCTGGTTTCTAGCGACTGGTATTCAGAACCATAGTACTTCCTTTGACCATGAAAGCAGAGAATAGCTTCCATCATGGCTAATAGACATTGATAGACTTATCTAAGAATTTTGTCTAACCCTCTTCTAAAGCCAACCAAGTTAATGACTATCACTGTGAGCTCCAGGGTTAACTACGTGCTACATTAAGAAATCCTTTCTTTTATGTGTCCTGAATCTTCCAACATTTGGCTTCCTTGGATGTCCATGAGTTCCAAGGTTATGTGCGAGAGAGAAACTTTTCTCTCCCCACTTTCTCCATGCCATTCATAATTTTATAAACTTTAACCGTGTCACTACTTATTCATCTTTTTCTAAAGTCCCATATTGTGCAACCTTTTCTCTTGGGGAAGCTGCTCCATCTCCTTGATCTTTTTGGTTGCCCTTTTCTGAACCTTTTCCAACTCTACAATATCATTTTTGAGGTGAGGAGACAAGAACTGTACATAGTATTCCAAAGGCAGTCACACCATAGATTTGTATTATGATAACAGTTTTATTTTCAATTCATTTCCTAATGATCCCTAGCTTGGAATTTGCCTTTTTCAGAGCTGCCACACACTGGATTGACATCTTCATTCAGCTATCGACTATGACCCTAAGGTCTCGTTCCTGGTCATTCACTACCAGTTCAGACCACATAAGTGTAGATGTGAAATAAATATTTTTTGCTGCAAAGAATCTTTGGAGCATTTACATTGATTTGCGTTTTCCATTTTGACACCCATTCATTCAGTTTGGAGATGTCCTTTTGGAGCTTTTCACAATCTGTTTTTGTTTCAATAACTCTGAATTACCTAGTATCATCAGCAAACTTGGGAAAAGAGCACATGAGAAGCAAAAAATGCTTTTACGTCTCCCCCCGCCCCCCGTCCCTCCTGTCACTCCAGTTTCTAAGAAATGTGTGTTAGTCAACTAACTGTATGGAGTGTTGAACTGCAGCAAGGAGAAGTCATGCTGCTAAAAATAATAGTATACATATATTTTTATTTTCCTGTTTTGTTGTTTATTGGCTTCTAGTGTCAACTTTTCCTCTATAACAAGATATGTATTAAAATTTTGTTTGAAACAGATAAAAAATAATGGACCTCTGATCAACATGGTTTACAAAGTTCTAAAGAGCTCAGCACAAGGGTTACTATCCAGTATAAATGTAAGAGTGCCTGTAACGGAAATGTAACCATTCCATTGCTTTCTTCAATGGCAGTCAATGTTTAAGTGGCTAAGCATCCACAGGTGTCTCATGATACATACGACACCACAGCTTTCTGCAAGATGTGTGTTTTTGGAGGCTTTGTGCAATCTTATGGCTGGCACAGTACTGCTTGATTTCATTTTCTCATGTGTTGGAAACTAGTGGTGGTGATTCCATTTCTATAATTATGAAAATACAGAAGCATGCTAATTTTGTTTTGATTTTGCTGCTTTGACAATGAGTTGATTTTATGTGTACTGTTATATGATATAATTTGATGATATATTTTTTCCTTGGCTCACTGTGCACTGTATACCTTTTAGATTTCAGATCAGTTCCCTTGCTTGCATATTTGTTGTTATACTGATTACTTACATTCTGTTATACCAATATATAGTATGTGTTGCTTATCTTAGAAAGTTTTAAATCCACACAATATTCTAGGTGGCAGTTTAAAAGGAAATGGTGCTTTACTGCAATAAAAAAAAACTTAAATCTAAATATTGCCAAAAGGCAATAAGCCCTCCTGTATTTGATTATTTGGTTTCCATTTTATCAGTTTACAATGATGGGAACTTGAAGATGGAGCTGTGACAAATAGTCATGAATGGTAAATAGAACTAATAATAGTACTAATATTAATTCCAGCTTTTTTATAGTGCCTTCTGAATGTTCAAAGGCTTCACATACATTTTTCTCAGTAATCTTTGTAACGATCTTATACAGAAAGTCAGAATTATTACACCACCTTGCAGTCACATAGCTGCAGCTGAAACAGTACCTTTTCTAAGGCTACCTAGTGTAATAATGCACAAGGTGAGTTTTGAACAAGACATTTTCTGGCTGACTACTTGTTCTTGTTATACTAACTACTGTCTTCTGTCTCAAGAGTTAAATATCATTTTCATATCCTTTGGGTAAATCATGATGGCTTGGCCCCTGAGGTGATTTCATGTGGTGAAAATAAAAATATATTTCAGTTGTAAAAAAACCAACCCAGTAACATTCATTATTACATTTCTTGTTTGGGTTTTGTATGTAGCATTCGTGAAATATGTAAATATACATATATGTACATGGGTGCATGTGCTGAGTAACTGGGAAACACTTCTTGTAGCACCAGATTTGTTACAGACGAGGCGTGAGGAACCTCAGACCTGGGATTGAATGCTTCCCTCCAGGCCCTCATATCTGACCGTTGGAAGTCTCCTCCAGCCACACCCCTCACAGGCCCTGCTTCCTGCCCCAAGTATTTTGTGTGGCTGGAATGTGTCCTTGAACTCTGATAATGCCTCTTGCTTGCCTGGATGGGTGATAAAGAGGTTGCCGGGAGGAGGGGCGGGGCATGGGACTAGCCTAGTGTACAGATATAAAATTAGCATTCATTGTTCCATTCGCTTTTGCCTCTAGCCCTGCCCATCCCTGCATGTCTCCCTTTAAATGTTGGCCAGAAGGGAATGCAGCCCTTAGACTAGGCCTATAGGGCTATAACCATGTTATAGGCCAAACATATACAGTGGTACCTCGGTTGAAGAACAGCTCTGTTTACTATTCGATTTACGAACTCCGCAAAACTGGAAGTAGTGTCCCGGTTTGCGAACTTTACCTCGGTCTAAGAACGGAAGCCAAACGGCGGAAGGGCACTGGTGGCAAGAGACCTCATTGGTTTAAGAACGGTTTCGGTTTAAGAACTGACTTCTGGAACGAATTAAGTTTGTAAACCAAGGTACCACTGTATTCTATTCACTTGAGAATTTGGTCTGATCTATTAGGATGGTTGCACATTCCACTCCTGTCTCTACTACCCCCCCTCCACTTTTCTATGGGTCTGCTCCCAATGCTGGGTCCATCCATCACATCCATCCATCGCACTTTTTATCCTGTATAGTGCAGGAACTTAACACCTTATAGGGTCAGTATATTTCTCTTCCAGCTACCAGCAGCATATTGCAGGTGAACATTGTTTGCATAAGGAAATTTATCATTTGGAACCCAGCCAAATTTGAAAGAATTGTTGTGCATGTGGATCCTCCCTGAAACACTTTGGATCAGGGCCAATATATCAGGCTGCTATACCAGCAAAGAACTGGTGACATTTATGGGTATTAAAATCAAAGAATTAGTTCTGGGAGGATGTAATCCAGCAAAATCTGCTGTGCTATGTTAATATAAAATGGATTTGTTTAGAAATTTTGTATAAGAATCATAGAATGCGTAAAGATATAAATAATGCTGACTTCTGTTAAGAATTCACATTGCTGCTATAAAACTTTAAAGGTAAATTAAGCAACCATATTTTAAAAGATCCCAAATTTTATATAAGATATTTGTAATACTACTAGTGTAGGCAACATCATCATGTGGGGATATATCTTTTTTGAAGAATCTTCTCCTTCCTAAGCCCTACCAGGGTTATGCTGGCTGCCCACGGGAGATGGTAGTGGGTGGCTTCTTTCTTTTCCCCTCCCTTCATTTTGCTATTAAAAAACAAACAAAACAAAAATGTCTGTTGGTTTCAATGGGCAGGAAAATGACTGTGGTAGCTTCAGGGCTGGTGTAGTTTTTCTCTCTTATTGGGAGAATGGGAATTCTGTAGATCCTATGTGTCCAAGGCCTCTTGGATCTGTCTCAATAAGCTCTTTTCTTCTCCTACTACTGTCAAAGTAATGGTGACAGACCTTGCTGCTGCTGCTGCATTAAGGAGACCTCTGGTTGCAGTCCTTCTCCATCTGCAGACTACACTCTAGGTCCACAGCATCCAGAGGCCCTTCTGATGCCTCCCAAGGAGCTTAGATTCCTCCTTAAATAATCTTTAAAATATAGAGGGAATTAGTAAAGTTTTCTCCAAACCTTTTTTGTTTATGGCCAACTTTTAATTTTGCTTTCAAATCTTTATTTTTTATTTTTTAGGTAACAGGGCGTGATACAATAAGAGAACGAAATGCAAAACCCATCAGGATTGGAGAAAGTGATATTGATGTAAGAATAAAGCATAATTTTACTAAGGATGTAGTTGTCCTGATGAACCAATCAGAATCCAGTTCTGTTTTATTATTCTAATCTTTCTTTATATACGTTCTTGTTTGTAGGTGAAACTAAGTGTTCTCTGTGAACAAGACAGGATTCTACAAGACCTAGAAGACAAAATAAGAGCCCTGAAGGAAAATAAAGTAAATAGTATTGCAATCCTTCCATTGCCTTGTTTCTCTATCAGGTTTTGCAGTAAAATATGGCAATCATTGTAGTTACTGCAATTGCTTATTTTGGATAGTATGCTCAACTGCTGTGTTCATTGATGGGAACAGGGTTGAGATGAAAATAGGATGCATTATTAAAATACAGTGATTTGGCAAATAGATGTCACACCATGTTTTGCTTGCAAGCCCAGCTGTTGGGTATGGAATTGGAATTAGAATGATCAAGGCAGAGGTCAACAGTGGTTGATAACTGCTGTCCGTAATCAACTTTTTGGAGATGAGGTCTGAAATTTCCCATGTTGTAATATTGCATTGAGTAGCGAAATTCTGTTTTCTGATACTTATCTAACCAAATGAGGACGATAGTAGATGCTGGTAGCATCATTAATAACATAGAATAAAAGTGAACAAGAACTAAGGCTGATTTGAGGTTAATAATATGCTAAAAAGAAAATAACAACACAGTCCTATGCATATCTCCGTCAGATAATATGCATATATATTTCCAGGGCTAAAGGTCAGTTAGATATGTGTATAAATTTGTTTTAAATTTGCTGATGTGTTGCTTTTCAATATCTTTTAAATCTTCTACAGGATCAGTTGGAATCTGTCCTGGAAGTGTTACATCGGCAGATGGAACAATACAAAGACCAACCACAGCACACAGAAAAGATTTCATACCAGCAGAAACTTTTGCAGGAGGATCTCGTACATATTCGGGCAGAAATATCCAAAGTGTCTACAGTAAGTAATTCCTAGAGATACAAAAGTTAACTTGTAGACAAATATTTTAGTGTTCAGCCATTTTAATTCAATTTTCATGGCAGACCCAATGAAATGGAATATGGTTATCTGCTACCAATACTTTCAGAGCAATCTGAACTGGGACTAGGAAGCAGTAGGGCAGAGCTGAACTTTGCATCCAAAGTTATGCTACCTCATGCTATCTAGGACAGAAAGTGGGAGAACAGGGCTTGTTTTTTTAAAAAAATTGCTATACTACTTCCAGAGTTGAGCCCTTCAGGGATCCTCAAGGTTTTGGAGCCAGTGAATCCAAAGCCATAGTAATTTTTCTTTAGGCCCAGTCTTTTCTTATATGCTTGGAATAATGCCTCATCAGTTTCAGTGGGTGTAAATTGCAAGTAAGAATGCATAGTTTTGTAAGCTAAAGTATATGTGTTTGTGGTATAAGCAGCATAAAGTAGTTGCTTTAATACTTAGATCAGCCTGCAGCGTTTTATATCTTTTATTGCTTGCTTGCTTGCTGCTTGTTTGTTTGTTTATGTATTTCACAAGATGTAAATACTGCTTGATTGTACTATAACCTCAAAACGGTTTACAAGAAGAATAAAACAATAAATTATCAGTGAAAAGCAGTTTAAAGCAACTATTTAAAACTTTGAAAAAATAATTATAATCAAAAATAAGCTAAAAACCAGATTAAAACTCATGTCAGCATTCTACTTTTCTGAATAGGCTTTCCTAAACAAATATGTTTTTAGCAGGCACTGAAAACAGTACTAAGAAAGTGTGTGACTGATGTCAATAGGCAGGGAGTTCCAAAGTGTGGGTGCTGCCACACAAATATCTTTCAAGGCATTGGGGAGCATCATCTCATACAGTGAAGCATTAATGATGCTCTAGACCCAGCCAGTCAGACCCCCCTCTGCTAGATTTAATAAGTGAGGAGGGACAGGGGTCCAGAGGGCAGCTGAAACTGAACTCACAACACATCATTGATTCTGGCGCTGGTTACATCAACCAGAGTGGCAACAACTGCAGAGTCAATATCACTCTGAACTTAGAGACTTTATCCTTAGAGTGTGTAGCCAGTTGATCCCAGTGGGTCCTCGAATGTTCCAGATGTTCCTCCCCACAATGTGAGTCAGTAACCTCTGAACTGTCTAAAAGAACTCCATCAGCCACCTTCTAGAGGATGCAGTGCAAACTGCAAAATGAGCCGCCTTCACAGCTGGTACTGCTGCATGGTAAACACAATTATGTGCTCTAAACAGTGTCCCATCACCTTTAAAGTGAGACTTGCACCAGTTGTGCTCTGATCTTTGTCTGGCTTGTTTCATATCCTGGAGCTCCCCAGAATAACAAGATGTTACTCTGGCTCCATAGTGCTGGAGAGGACATGTAGGAGCATAGTGAGATCAGGACTTTGACAGGCTCATCAGCTTTATCCACTGGGAAATATCATCACCATCCTGCCTTTTTCTCTGAGAGGGACTCAAGGTGACTTACAGACAAAACTGAAACAGCTAAAAACATAGGTGGGGTGGGGGGTATATTCAGTCTCCCAGAGCATTCAGGAACACCTCAGATTCCATCTTTCTCTAAGGGTGGGGAATCCATATGGACCCACCACACACACAGGATGGTGGGGATGAAAGGATAAAACTGAATATTTTGTCTTTGCCAACAGGAAATGGAAAATGCCTGGAATGAATATCTGAAACTGGAAAAAGATGTACACCAGCTGAAGCAAGCCTTACAGGAACAAATGAACAGATCGTTTTTTTCTCAGGTGAGGCTTATTCAACTTCATGATTCAAGCAGCTTTTGCACAATGTGCCTAAGCCCTTTGGCAGCGTAGCCAGATCTTGTCCCACTATGTGATCGAATCTTGAGGTAAATGCAGGGGCCAGGATTCCACTTGCACAATGGGGCTTTCCCCTCTCTCCTCCCTATGCCCCACATATCCCCTGAAATTGTTTGGAGGTTGAGAGAATTCCCAGAACAGCATGCAGGGGCAGAAGAGGGGGGATCATTCTATTTGGCAAGCCAAAATGTTTGCTGTGACAGAACAATCGCTTTAGACCAATATTGAATTCCTCACACATGTGGAGAGTTGCACGTGTGGATTCCACCACAGTGTGCTGTAATAATGCACCACTATGACGTCTGCATGCACAGTATCTCCTGTAAGCTATCAGAAAGAAAACTGAATTGCCATGCAGGAAGCTATTATTTGTTGTTGTCCCTTAGGAAAACTCTGAGGCTGTATGCATTGTGTAAGCTCTCCTTTCCTCTCAGTTCTGGCTGCTTTTTCAACAGCAACCTACACCTTATACCAAAAAGCATGTATCAGTAGCCCAGTGACTTCCTTTTTTGCTCTTGGGAAAGCTGCTTTAGGAGCGAGGGATTGGCAATGAATAAGTGAAGGAAATGGGCAAATAACAATTTTCACACAAGGCCTGAGGTCTTGGAGTTCTGCTGCCAGTCAGCATAAATGGTACCACTGGTCTGATTTAGTATGAGGTAGTGTCATATGTTTCTGTGTTCATTTAGACTTACTACATAAAGTTTCAATATCCTCATTCTTTATTTTCAAATTCATACTTGATTGCTTTTAGTAATGAGGCACAAACACATGTATGTTTGGAATGCAGACCAATTATGCCAAGCAGGCTGTTGCTCCTTTTTGGTCGCGGGGACCTTCATTCAAGGAATTAGGATTTCTTAAATTGCATCTCATATAATCTTTTTAAAAAAGATTATGCACATTCCCCATTTGCTGAAATGAATTGATCAAAATTGACCTTTGTAATTTCATCTCTCAAGCAAACTCTTAAAATGTATTATAAAGAAAAAGTCTGTATTACTTAAAAGGAAGTTATAATTAATTTTGAGATAAAAGTAAGATTTCGATGAGAAGTTGGTAGTGCTCCTTGACATTTTGCATTGTTATATTAATAAGCTCTTGGAAAAACTGCGGGGTGGGGGGGGTTTGGTATTTGGATGGAAAAAAGGATGTCAGAAGTTGCACCCAAGTTAAACAGTATATTAGTGTTCATCTCAAGGATAAAATGGCATGGCTTTATAGGTTATTAAGCAGATTATTTCTGCTTATTTAATGTATTAACTTTTTAATTTTGCTGCTTCTGAAAAGTGTCATGCAAATAAATAAAAATATTAACAAATAAAACATCCCAGAAATTCATATTTAAATCAAACTGTTACAAATCCATATCAAACTGGAATAGAAATCCACATGCCTGTCTGGAGAGATTTTTTAAAATTTCATTTCTACACCTGCACATATAAAGAGATGAGGGTTTTTACTCACTAACAACAGCCAAAAAAAAAAAAAAAAGGAATAAAGCCTCTCTTATCTTGATTTTTGAGTTTCATTCATTTTAGTGGTTTGAATCCCAAACAGAATGTACACATCAGGGTTTTATCACATCCTTACCTACTGTTCTCCCATTGCCCCATGAAAGACTGTTGATTGCAGTCCACAGACTCTCTGGAACAGTGTACTACAGTGAGGTACAGGTGGCTATTGCTTGAGGGGCAGGGTTGGTGAAAACTAATGCTCCCCGCATACATAGGCAGAAGTTACATCCATTTACACACGGATCACTGCATTCCCAGTGGATGTCTGTTTTCCAGAAACTCACACTTTGTTTCTTTCAGCCATACATATATCATAGAACTTACAATCTACCTAACTGCCCAGCACTGAGAAAAAGTGTTTTACTTGCCATCTGTATTTAATACCTTCATTGTAGCACACTACCATACTGGATAATGACATTATCCAGAATATTGTACAACTAGCAGAGAGCATAAATGAGCAAAATGTATTAAGTTAAGGCAGAGCTTCTTACCTGATTTTTAAAATTGTTTCTCATAGATAAATTCCATGTGTCAATCGTCTTGTAGGTTGGGTTATCTATCTCTATTATTTATTTGTGCGTGATAGGATAAGCCCAGAGTTAAAGATGCTAACCACAATGCTGTTTTTTCCACACACATATGAGAAGAACAGATTTGACAATCAGGATCAGCATTGTGTGTGCATTGGTCTGTAGCAGGGTAGCAACACCAGTGGTTGCTGCTGCCCTTGAGTTAGACTTTACTGTCAGGACCATTGTCCCTTCATGCAAAAATGATGTAAGAGGTCTCTCATTTTCAACTATGCTGTTTTGTAGCCAAAGCAACCATATATATTTGATTTAAAGCAAAATAAATGAAAAAATATGTTTTGTGCTTACGTAACTATTGTTCATATTTTTGCCATTCCTTCACCATTTTCCTGGTCTTCATTGTTTATTAGGAGAAAGCCCAAATGCAAAAAGATTTATGGAGAATAGAAGATGTTACGGCTGGCCTAAGTACAAACAAATCCAACTATAAAGTCATCATAGAGTCTATAAAGAATCCAGGTAAGTAAAATGCACACATTTTAATGCATACATTAAAAGCTATATTTCCTTATCCAGATCTAAGCTTGAATTAAATTTGGCAGCCACATTTGTTTCTTTGAGGAGTTGCAGCTGTTATTTTAGGACAATGATATCTGCATCACAGAGGAATCTCCTTGGTTCACTTCTAATCCTGCATAATGATGGGAGATTGTCCAACATTATGCATTCATATTGGCTGCTTATCATTCTTAACTTTTCTAACAAAAGCATATCCCATCTTGCACTGCTGGCAACTTTTCTCTCACCTTCTCATTAGCGTTACCATTCAGGGCCTACTGAAATCTGTCAGGTTCATACATAGAAGAGTATGTATTTTTATATTTCCAAAAGTAGTTCAATAAACATTAAGGTGCTGTGTCTAAATATTATATTTAGGTTCGTACAGTATTGTGCATGTGGATTCCTCAGTGTTTCTGACCTACATCTGTGTGCATTATGTCTTCCTCTTTGCAGAGAGAAAAACAGTGCCTTCATTTTCAAAACCTCTAGTGCCTTCATTATCATCTACTCTCATGTCAGGGGACAGCAAACTTTCTACTCAGCAAAGCTCACCATCTAGTCCTGTCAAGCCCTCTTTAGAAGTCAGACTTCTTCCGCAGCCTTATACGCAACCTAGAATGTTCTCGCCATCCCAGCAAATGAAAAAAGTTGAGCCTCCAGTTCAGTCACCTGTAAAATTAATGCCAAATGTTGTAAGTGTCATAACTACGGTATCATGTAATTAGTGGGCTAAAAGCAGTTCTTTTTTCTGGGAGAACGCAGGAGTATGCATACCCCTAAACATTTTGTGAATCTTTGTACTTTTGTCCATTTACTGTATTTATTTTTCCCGATTTGAACTATAAAATGGTGATTTCCTTGAGTAAAAATGAAAGTACCCCTAAACATTTTTTTAAGGGGAAAAAAGCACTGGCTAAAGGTATTTGGGAATGGGTTTTCTTTGTGTATACAACATACAGTAATGAAGCCTGATACCAGACAGCATATTATTCTGACTCTCTTTACTTCAGTTTTGCAATGCTCTGAATTGAGATGTAATGCTGTGACTTGTTGGCGCTGCTTAAGAAAGACAGGAAACAGGACTGAAGAAATACCCAAAACACATTCTTGAAGCTGTGTTCAGGCCATTAAGTTTGAATTCATGCACATTATTTTCTTGCATTTAAACAAAAGAAATGTCAGTTTTATCATTTTGCGCCTGTTGGAAATGGCTGAACACCGAAGGCTAAAGGACATGTTTGCTTCTTAATATTGTGTCAGGAAGATGAAGCGCCACCAAGACCTCCTCTTCCACAGTTGTACAGCCCTGATGACCACCCACCAGCCGTCCCACCTCTTCCCAGGGAAGCCACTGTCATTAGGCACACCTCAGTGCGGGGCCTGAAACGCCAGTCAGATGAAAGGAAACGAGACCGTGAACTAGGGCAGTATGTCAACGGAGATTACAGGGTAAGCACGCAGGCCCTGGTTTTCCAAATGTAGTTGTATTGCTTTAAAAAGTATGTTTCCTCAAATATGACCATTGTGAAACATAATATGATGACTTCAGGGAGACAGTATATGACTCCAACAAAATTATGAAAATGTATCCTATATTTTTGCAATCTGATTGAATCAAGTGTTCATCTGTACAGGTAGAACTCCGCTCATATGTGAGTGAACCTGAACTGGAAACAATAGGCAGTGATCTGAGCCAACCTTCTGCTGGTTTTCTAGGTACTGACAGTAGATACCAAACATTACCTAGCAGAGGTAAGTTAAGAGATTCACCAATACATATAAATATAGATTCTAAGCTGTTTAGTTCCATTTGATACATGGGTGTGTTAGAACTCTACATGATTCTTGAAGGGACAGGGATAGAAGGATCCTATCCAGTCCTATACTAAGTGCTTAAGCTTTCATTGTATCCCTTTCCCTGGCAGACTAACCCACCTAATTGAGACTGTGTTATCCCAGAAGCAGAGCTTTTAGTGACTCACACCAGAGATGAATGAACAATTCAGTTAAAAGAATCTACATAGCTTGAGTCTGAAGCCACACCTATCCATCAGCAATAATGTTATCACTAATGTTTACTTGTAGATTCTCTGGGAGCTAAATGCTCAAAATAGATCTTTTTAAAAAGAAAATTGGGTGTTTCATACTTGAGCTCTATAAAAACTGTTGTATGGATACTATCTAGACCCAGTGATTTGTTAGTTTTAAATTTGTCAATACACTGCTGTGTCATCCATACACCGATAAATCCTTCAACTTTGCCTGCTTAGCTGGCCCTTTGTATGGGACAGATAGCATTGCATTTCAGAGAAAGTTGCCTTGCCTTTCAACCTCCTACCTAGCAACCTAAATTTAGCTTCCAGGACCTCATAGCTGCATTTCTTGCTCCATTTCAAACACCTCTTTCTTGAAATTTGCTGTTAGCTTTGAGCATATAGCCTGTTCACAAATCAGGACAGCCAGATCTTTTTACATGTAGTTAAAAGGACATACCTGGATAGAAAGAAATATATATATTAAAAAATAGATTTAGAAAGCACTGAGTACATTTCTTCCTAAATACAATTTTGCTTTAATAGCACTTTTTTCCTTTGTAAAGGATTATCTGGCTCAACTTCCAGACTGCATCAGTCATCAACAGCTTCATCATATGCAACATTTCGAAGAGATGGTTCCAAGGTAATTCTGCACATATCTTTATGGATACCAAATCTAATCAATAGAGTTGCTTTTTGCTTTAATATATAACAAGTTCAGCCACAATATAAGATAGGTGGGGTTATATAATTCTGTTCAGCTTAGGGTTTATAGTTACTGCAACTCCAGTTGTCAGAATTGTTAATTACCTATGCCTCTTGTGTAAAATTAGGTGCTTGCAGCATAGAGGCATATTTACTTTCGAGAGAGAGGTTACAATGTATGGGAAACTGACAGCTTTTTTGTTTCCATTGAAAGAAGAAAAGGATTGGTCACTGTCTTTAGCCTTTTATAGTGACATACTCTAAATAGAATTGTTCTATAGTATGTGCATTACAGTTTGGAAATAAAAAGGGAAATCCAGTACAGTGTATGGTCTAGCAGGTGCATCTACTATTATAAGAGAGGGGAGGCAATTTTTGCTGATGCTTCCATCCTATCCCCTTTTTTAAAAAATAGCAGATACCTCTGATGGATCAGAAGCCATTCTGTATGTAGAACAGGAGCTTTGGATTTCATCCCTAGGATACAGCTTTAAAAGTATTAATTATCATACGCTGTTGTTAACAGGATAGACCGAAGAGTGCCTTGGAACGTTTATACTCCGGAGATCACCAAAGAGGCAAGATGAGTGCCGAGGAACAACTAGAAAGAATGAAACGGCATCAAAAGGCATTAGTTCGTGAACGCAAGAAAACTCTTGGTCAAGGAGAAAGACAGTCTGCCTCGTCACGATCATTCGTCCGGCCTGTTTCTGCAGACATAGGCTCAGTATGTTAGACATGCCTTAAGAGGACTAGACTAAAAACATGATCTGTAGCTTCTCTAGTAAGCACTTTTATTTGAAAGTGCATTACACTTGTATTATTTAATTATAGTGCTATATCAGTTTCTGAAGTGCAAATAACAGAATATGGCTTTTAACTCTAAATAGTCACAGCTTAATGTAGCAGGTGCAGAAGTAACTTGGCATAAGAAAAGTCTAGCAATGAAAGAATTTTGTGGAAATGGATTCATATATGGATATTGGGTTGGTCTTGGCTTATCCCGCCCCCCTATTGCAGGGGTAGGGAATCTGTGGATCTCTAGATATTGTTGAACTCCCAGCCAGCATGGTCAGTGGTTAGGAATTATGGTATTCCAGCAACATTTGGAGTGCTACAGCTTTCCCACCTCATCCTATTGGCTTAAGCTATGCTATGAAAACAATAAGTTTGCATTTTTTTTCTGATTGAACCATAAAAGAATGAGCTCTGTAGATGTAGGTAGTACATTAAAGAAACTATATTGCAAGTTTAGTAGACCATAGTAGCTATGGTTCTGTCAAAAAAGATTTTTTTAAAGAAAGGATAGGATTTGACAAATTTTATATATTAACTATAAAGTGTAGAAGCTAATTTAACAGATGTTTATACAGCTGCTAATGTCAATTTATAAATTATTATTCAGATTCCTAGAATAGTCTAGCAAGTATCTGCATTCAGTTAGCAAAAATTAAGTTATTTCAATGGTTAAATGTTGGATTAAATATAAATGTAGGGTGATTCATTTTGGGTGGTTAACCACAGCATTTCTTATTGGTTCAGTCATTTCTATTTTACAAAGAAGTATATCCCATTATAATTAGTAAGATTTACTTCCAAGGAATGGGCATGATCTAAGAGTGATGTGCACAGGACAGAATTTCATGCAGAGCAAAGTTTCATTTGCCATTTCTACAACAGCAGTTATCATTGCCAAAGAATGAGGCTCTTAAAAAAATGAATAGTTTATCTCTTTAATTATGGTAGCTATCTGGGACAGAAACAGTGAGCAAAGCCTTTTTTTACGGCATGTGCTGGTTTTGCTTATGTGTGCACTGCATTTTGGGATTGCAACCATCCTGCTTAGGATCCGGGTGCTAGGCTGCTGCCTTAAACATATTTACATGGAAATAATCTCCACTAAACTAAATGGGATTTACTTTCAATATTTGGCCTCAGTCCAATGCACAGTTAAAAGTACAGAGCGCCTGTTGAAATTTTGTGTTTTTAGCATTCTTTGTGCATTTTCTAAGCATTGCTCAGAATATTTCTTTCTCTGGAATGTGTCCGTTGTGAATGTTGATGTAAAAAAAAGCAGAAAAGAGCCATTTTTAAATGAAAGTAATATACCACCCAATGTAGATTTTAAGTATAAATTTATAGTTGTGGGACATACAAAACCTTGCTGAAGTGTCACTTCTGAAAATAATGTTAGGTTGTGGCCAATGTGTTTAGGATTATGATAAATTTCAGATGGGTAACTATACTAGTCTCTTGCAGCAAAACAGATTTATTGCAGCTTGATCTGTGGCCCAGATGCATGAAGTGGTAGTCTAAGAACCAAATTATTTTATCTGTTAAATAAGTAAATGCACTTAATATGTCTGATTTGAGTTTTTTGAACTGCAGCTGCTTGGGTGGGAGTGATCAAGGCCATGGCACAGCAAGTGGAGAAGTTTAACCCCAAACGGTGATTTGTCCCAGTAGGGCAGCTGCATAGACAGTAATGGCAACTTCCCTCCTGGGACACAGCAGTTTTGGAAAGGCGGGTGCCACAGTCCCAGCATGCCAAAGTCCTCATTCTAATGATACACACATACCTACTGTGACTGCTATTTAATAACAAAAGTCAGAGAAGTTAAGTGCATTCATAAATTTAGAATACTGGCACATCAAGCCAAATTCTGGCTTGTTCCTGACTGCATCTTATAGTTAGCAAGGATAGATAAGCCCAGTTTCAGAAAGTCCAGGTTCAGTTGGCATGCTAAGCCTAACCTTGGCTTAGCTCAGTGCCTGGGAGAAAAATGGTCAGGGAGTAGCAAAGCAACTGCAAGTTCCTGTCTGGGAACCCATATGCTCAAGCAGTCTGATACTTTGGCCTACCATGATGTGCAAACCAGACCATTATGTAGTTTGGCCCTTAGAAGTTAGGTATAACAGTGCTTTGGGGGGCGAGGTGCTCAAGGGTACACAGTACTGATACCTCCCCCCCCCCACCATGTTAAAAGTGTGGCACTTACTGTAATAACTTCATGGTGAGTACTGGCACCATTCTATTTTTTTAAAAAGGCCCTGGGTATATAGATCTTGATTGTAGCCGAGGAAGGAGGATCAAAGTGAGTCCAAAAGGTCAAACAATGGAAGAGATAATGGTAGGTGAATTACAGTGTTATGCATAGCACAAATGAAAAGAAGATCCAATGAATATAAGATCCAATCAGTGTTGATGTGACCCTCCCCTGATTAGCAGCCACTGGAACCGTTACTTTCCATAGCAAGCTAGCCATTTCCATTATTTCTGGAGTGTCACATTTGCTAATGAATTCACATATAGTGGCTTTATATTGGAGTGTCACTTTGAAATCTTTTTCTTGGATTTCAAGTCCTAGAAGGTTAAAATGCTCTTCCACTGGTTTTTATGACTCTCTTAAATGTCTGATTTCTCTCCATATATCCTTGAGCATAGAGACCAGCCTGATTAATTTTTTAATGGTATTTAGATGTGAGTGAACAAGCTTTTGATGTCAGACTGACATCGTTTGGTCTAACATTATGTTGCTCTCAGCTAATACTTCTATAATTTGTTGTTAAGAATTTCCCTTTAAAGATACAGTATCCTTTCCTGCTTCCTGTTCTTGTTTACAGACAGACCCATCCCCAATCTTAAGCAATAATTGGTTGCCTAAAAGTGTGTAACAAATTCTAGTGTCAACTCTGCTTCCAGCAGTGCAAGGGTTTCTGCTTGTGTAATGGAACATCTTCTCTTCCTGCCTACACCCTTCCTAAATCTACCCCAAAAGGGTTGGCGGAATCTCCAGAACAGATCTGGGGTGTGGCAAGACACAGAAGAGGGAAGGAAAGTACTATGGCACAGCCAAAAGCCCTTCTGCTAGCACTTTTTTGGATACCACTCTGCTTCCATATTTGATTAGATGTTGCATTCATTTTGATTGGCTGCTGTAATAATTTATAATAATTTAATAATTTATTATTTATACCCTGCCCATCTGGCTGTTTCCCCAGCCACTCTGGACGGCTCCCAACCAAATATTAAAAACACAATACTGTACAACATTAAACATGAAAAACGTCCCTAAACAGGGCTGCCTTCAGATGTATTCTGTATTCACTTGTGCTCTGCATAATACTGTAACACTGCTACAGGTGTAGTCTTTGGCCCCACTTTGTAAAAAAACGCAATAGCTTAATTTTTCTCTCTGTATTTAAGGTGGGCACTGGCCTCTGAAAGCTTACATCACAATGAATTTGTTATTTTTTAAGGTGTCATGGGAATTTGTTGCTTAGGATAATGATTTGATTATAACACTGAGAGATTTACACAATCACAGTAACATTAATTCTTTGCATTGCCTTCTCCTCTTGGTACACTAGAACTATGTAATGCTCATCACCTGCCTAATTCATTGCACAAGGTCTCTTGCTTCTAGAGTTGCCACTCACATCATACATAATGGCTTTCATGTTTGTTTTTAAATTTTCTAATTATTTAAAACAATTTCTAACTAGACCACTCAGTTTCTACCAGGCTTAATTGCATTTTAGTAGCTTTTTGTTAAATTCCTACTGAGTTTTTCATTTTTGTTGTGGGCTTTGCCCTTTAACCTTTTTTGTTCCCATTTTAAATAGTTGCTTAGTAGCACTAATTTGCAATCCATTTATGATTCATTACTTTACTAAATACACATTTGGACTCTTAAAGGGACCTGGTGCGTTCAGATTTATATATTTGCAGTCACACTTTAATTGAGTAACAGTATATATCTTTTAGGAAAGGTAAAGCCCTGCCATATTCATGTTTTAAGTAGCAGGTTTTAAATCTTTTTAAAAAATGTATAGCTATTGCACACATACTTATTTCAAATGCAAACATTTCATAACTTTTTAACAAGTTAAACAAATAACTTTACATATTTGCATGCCATATTGGTCTGTGTTCTTGCTGTAAAATATACAAATGGCACAGTAGGGCCAAGAAGAAAATGTTTCATAGAGATCTCTTTCTTGTATGCCCAAACTGCTCCAGTGCACAAAAAGTAACATTTGATAGCACAACTTACAGCAGGACACTAATTTAGCAGCCAAATGGTGAACAATGGAATATGTAATTATTGTGCACAGTTTATAACATTGCATACATTGTATGTGTAAATCTACTTTTAATACAATGCACTGATATTTTTTTAAAAGATCACTTTTTAAATGTAGTATGACATTAAAAATGTTGAGCAGAATATATGGATTTGTCATTTAATTTTGATGTAAAAGACTCCGTATCAACACCAATAAACATACTTCCTAATACTGAATTCACGTTTTTCTTCAAGTATAGAATTAATTCAGAATTAATATTGTGTTTCTATTATACATATTCTGGCAATCAGGCCTGGTTTGAATATTGAGATGTCTGGTTATGGTGCATTTTAATGGTGAAGAAGATTGTCCTTTCTCCTCTTCAACAGTTTTAAAGGCTCCAATTTTTGCTTGAGAAGCAGCTGCCTTTAAATTAAGCAATATTTATCCTATTTCTAATACAAATACTTGATATGTTCTGAGTGAAAATCAAGAGCTTGTGCATGAATGATCGCCCCACCCCACTGAACTCCCCCCAAACCCACTATGGACTACAGATCCAGAGTGTCCCCTTGGTGAACTGAAGGGCTTCTGTTCATGAAAGGGATTCAGATCTAGCAGGTGCTTTCACTGAAGAAAGGGATGGGAGCCATTTTTGTTGATTCCCCTCTCCCTGGGCAACTTCCCACACTGTTCCAGAAGCAACCAGGGGCAAGTAGGAATCAGCAAAAACTACTCTCCTCACTTCTTCCAGCAGTCACTGGAGCTTTGACTCGGCATGAGGTTGGATCCCATGTCTTACAAAGTGTAAATGCAAATATGCTGCTGTGACATCCTTTCTTTGTTGAAGTTAAGTCTTGGAGGGGAGATTAATCCCATAAGCACACTGGGAGAAAACTGAAATGTTCCTTTGTGAGTTGAGGTAATGGGTGAGAACATAAACGATCCAATTAGGCTTGTGAGCCAGAGGGCTGCTTGGTTTCTGCAAAGACTAAGGGAGGGTTAATTTTATTTTTCCTCTGAACAGCAGGGCCAATTGTATTATCATTAGCTGCATTATCAAAATCTATCTGCTACATAGCAACGGTTTGAGTAATGCAGGTCCAAAGGTCCACAGCCCCAGTAGATGTGTGGATCTCTGGATTGTAACCAATGGATTAAAATTACATATTAATTGGAGAGGAAAATACAGGTATCATATTTTCACATTTGCATTCCCCCAAAGTAGGTATTCCATTCAAGCCTTTCGTTTTGTAATAGTAAAAACTTGGTTGTTTTGTGGGGAGTTGTATGAGTAGAGTATGCTAGCTCTAGGGCAGTTTAATGAGGTGCACGAAACTATTCTTATATGAAACATATTACGTATTTTAGAGGTACTTAAAGCATTTTCAAGTGTCCAGTTAAACCAGGGTGGTCCAACTGAAGGTCTTTTCTGGCAGCTCTCAGCAACATTTGACTCCCTCCTGACCACCACTGCCTTCCCAAAGCCAGGTAAGTGAGGCTTTGGGAATGAGGTGTGAGGATTCTGCAGGGTCCTAGAGTCCTCCTTCCCAAAACCTAGTTCACACATTCCCAGCTTTGAGGAGGAGGTGGGAGGGTCAAAGACCCAGCCAGAGCCTCACACCTCCTTCCCAGGGCCCAGGGCCTCGGTTGGCTGGCTTTAGGAAGGCAGTGTGAGGGCTGGTGGGGGGACATCTAATTTTGACCTTGGCAAGGCAATGTGTGACCTGCAGTTTCTGTGTCGAGGTAGTCTTGTGACCCACTTGGTGTGAATAGTTGGGCTTCCCTGAGATAAATAGTAGGATTATTTTCACTGCAACTTAGAAGAACATGCATTCAGTGCTTTTGAAGACTGTAAATTGATTAGAATACATAGTGTTCATTTTTCTGTCGTTGTAAAAGATGCTCCAAAGGGATTTTGAACGAATATGGAGTATTCGTAAGAATTAAGGGATCTAATATATAAACGTTTATTATAGTGGACAGTTTTCAAAACAGTGGAATTTATGGAGCACATCTGTACAGCAAACACATTACCAGAAAGTTGTGTCTTGAAAACATTGTTTTGGCTTATCATTTGTGCAGGTTGTTTAACAGAATAACAACATGTATTTTCCCCTAGATGGTGAACCTACATGGGGTACTCACTCTCTTAAGCCAGCAATTAGCTATATCATCTCTCAAGACAGGACCAATTTAAAAAAAATAAAAATAATAGGCAATACCATTGGAAACAAAACCATACGTTTAGATCCTAAAGACTTGTATACATGGAAATAGGCTCTAGTGTATGAACTAGCTCAGGTCAGATTTTCCATCTGATCATAGCCTCTTATTAATTCCAAAGACTACTTCCTTTTCTCTTGTATTTTAGTGCATTTAGTTCTTTGTCCTGCTTTCCCCATGCAACCCCTATCTATGCCATTTGAATGTGGCTCCTGACTGGTAAAGTCAGATTTAACCCTGGTCTACTGACAGCTTTTTTTGCTGAGATTTTATTGCCATCTGCTGGCTGAACAGGATGAGTACCTCATCAAGGACAGCCATCAAGCAAGCATCCAGAAGCAAATGTTATGGTAAGTCCTAGCTTCCCCTTGCATCAATCCAGAATCTGAGGTAATGGGAGTGAACATTTCTACATGGTGTTTTAGTTGGAATGGTCAAACTTGTAATTGTTTCCTATCTGTTAATAGTGGAAGCGGGAACAAGAATTTGACTTGCAGCTACTGGAAAGAGCTGTACGCCCAGAACACAAAGAGGAAAATAACTGGCTAAGAGTTGAACCTGTGTTGGTGACAGAAGCAGACTTAGAACCTCAAGATTATAATTTGGATATTAGCAGAGAGGTAAGGCTAGTTGTCTGTTTTTGCATTGCTACATATAGTATAAAGTGGGATAAATATTAATGACCAGAAAGGCAGCTTTAAGTGATGAAGTCTACAATGTAGAAATGTGTTATGTTTTTTGAAAAAGGGAGATATAGTGGTACCTCAGGTTACAGACGCTTCAGGTTACAGACTCTGCTAACCCAGAAATAGTACCTCGGGTTAAGAACTTTGCTTCAGGATGAGAACAGAAATCGCGCTGCGGCGGCGGCAGCGGGAGGCCCCATTAACTAAAGTTGTACTTCAGGTTAAGAACAGTTTCAGGTTAAGAACAGACTTCCAGAACGAATTAAGTTCTTAACCCGAGGTACCATTGTAATGGTCTGCTGTGCACATCACATTCAACCATATTTAAAATACTGTGGTTTACTGTGAACGAGCAGCATGCTGGCACACACTGCTGAAATCATGGGTGCTTTGCTTTCCTCCATGCTGCCAGGGAACAAGCCATCATCTGGTTTGTGTCATCTGAACCTGTTTCTCCAAACAAACCACAAGCAGAAGCCAACTTTCTTGGTGTGCCACTCCTCTAGGGTTGCCATATTTCAAAAAGTGAAAATCCAGACAAAAGTTGCGTCTGGACTAAATTTTTTTTTTCTTTTTCTGTTTTGCCCTATGGACATTCAAGCAATTTCTGCCCGGACGGCCGAATCTTGGCAATGGCCAGGAAATTCTACACACCTCACTTGTTTGTGGGGAAGCAAACCACTATGAGTCCAGGTTCAGATAACACAAGACATACTATGGCTTGTTTTCTGACAGCACAACAGGAGTGGGGAAAGAGTGAAGCACCTGCAGTTTCAGCAACATGCACCAGCATGCTGCTTATTCACATTAGATCAGGCTTCCTCAACCTCGGCCCTCCAGATGTTTTTGGCCTACAACTCCCATGATCCCTAGCTAGCAGGACCAGTGGTCAGGGATGATGGAAATTGTAGTCTCAAAACATCTGGAGGGCCGAGGTTGAGGAAGCCTGCATTAGACCAGTGTTTCCCAACCTTGTGCCTCCAGCTGTTTTTGGACTACAATTCCCATCATCCCTTGCCACTGGTCTTGCTAGTCAGGGATGATGGGAGTTGTAGTTCAAAAACAGCTGGAGGCAAAGGTTGGAACCTGCATTAGACCATATTTAATCAACTAATGTGATGTGTGAACCAGGCCAACGAAGGTCATGCATCCCATAAACTGATTGAATTAACATTACAAAATTGTTGAATCACTCGTCTTAAAATAAAGTCAAATAGAATTCCTATGCTTTCTCTTTACCTATCAACCACAATGTCTATGAAATGGTGATCTATGAGAAAATGGTATCAGAGATTAAGATTCCATTGTGTTCTCCCCAAAAGGTAACACATAATCCCCATGGCTATTGGAAAAGCAAAAGGGTATTAACATTTTTAATGCATATACAGTATTTGAAAAGCTGTAGAGCCATCTGGTGGCCCAAATGAAGTATATTATGCTGTCACTGAAATATGAAGGAACAGGGAGGAAAATCTACTGAATGCAAGATCAGTTTAAGAGCAATAAAATCATTAAATGACTTTAAGAATTTTGTTGTTTTTATTTTCTTATATATGTCACCCATTAGCTTAATTTCTTTGTGTGGTTTACAGCTTTGAAAATACATGGTGCTGTGTGTGTGTGTGTGTGTGTGTGTGTGTGTGTGTGTGTTTGTCAGTGTCACACACAAGCACACAAACATATACACACACTGCAAATTACACAGGGCATGTAAAGCCAGCATAAATGTAGCAACATAAAAATAAAAAACGAACATAAAAACACGGGAGAAAAGAATGTGGTGCAAGAAATTAAAATCAATAAAAAATATTGTTTTAAATTAAAATTCTTGGGAAAGTAAAAAGTTTTTCAACAAAAGACTATAATACGGGCTTTCTCCCTCATCGCATCAACCTCCTTTCATTCGATGCAGAAGGATTTCCAATTATGAACTCAAGAACAGGATTAGGTGCATATGGGAGAAATTCCATCACATTTAATTCTGTTTTTCTAACATACTGCTAAACTTTGTTGTCGTTTGTGTCAGCAATTCAACATTGGAATTACTGTTTTTATCAAAACATTGTTTTCAGAAAAAAATTGGCCCACAAGTATATTATGGTACAATTTTCATAAGGAAGTGCTAAAATTCTTGTTTTGCCCTGCTTTTTTCCTTTGGTTGATTTGAACAGTTTTGTTTCAGTTGAATGTAATATTCTATATAAGCTACATTAATCGCTTATGATTCTCTCTCCCTGCCACCACCAGTTGTCAAAACCTGAAAAGGTTTCAATTCCAGAGCGATACGTTGAGCTGGAACCTGAAGAACCTCTTACTCCAGAAGAATTAGCAGCAAGGCACCGTAAGGCAGAAAAAATAAAGAATATTCTTACAAGGTCAAGGTCAGATTCTTATAAACATATTACTCCCATTCATTTTTAACATTAGAAATGGGGGGGGACACCTACTGCTGTAGTCTTGGTAGAGTTATATGCATTTGATCATAGTACAGAAACTTACAGAAATATATTAATACTACAATTAATACTAATTGTACTTTTTGCATTGAATCAATTGTGGTAGGTGAGGTGGGGAGTAGTGCTGTTTGCCAGGCAGAGCTAGAGTGTGGGATACCAGGTTGGCAGCAAGTTCAGATGCCCTCTCCCCACTGCCGCTGCCAAGATGGTGCTCTCCTGCCCTCCCCACCACTCCAGTTCTGGCAGGCAGCAGCACCACCACAGTTGGAACAGCAATGCAGCAACACCACCCACAGCACTACTGCATATAATGAATATGGTGAATCACCATCATCATTATCATATTTTATTTGCATGCCGCCTTTCCATAGTTAAAGCAATGCTCAAGGCGGCTTATAGCATGACAAGATTTACATAATTGCCAACATAACAAAAGTCATAAGCAATAAATAAAACACCTCAAAAAGTACACAACCAAATGGGAAACAATTTCCACATAAATCATAAAATCTAAAACTAAGAATACAGTATTAATATCAATCACAATTTAAAATGGCATAGATAAAAAATAAAAGCAATAACAAAAACAAAAACGGAGCCCTCTTTGCCCAGCAGCAGCAGTCCTTTATGGAGCCTGTCAGGCCCTGCTGCTGGAGGAGAGAAGGTGGAGAGAAGCAGGGCAGGGCTTTATTATCCTTTATTATCTTTTCCTATTCTCTCTGTATACTCTTATTTACAGCCTGAACACACAGCCCAGCCCTGCTTTCACTGACACAAGAAATGGCAAGTGCTGCTGCAGCAGCATGTTCTGCCCTTGCTAGTGAGCAAAGACATGTAGCTCAGCTGCCTCACTTTCCCACCACTAACGTAGCATAGCATAGCCTCTTCTGCCACATGGAGGTACAGAAGCATCAAGAGCTGTTGGAACCCTGGGAGCAGAGGCTAAAGCTGTGTCCAGCGCCACTACAGGGGAGGATTTCCATTGCTTCAGATATGATGGGATCACTGGTTCAGAACAGCAGCTCCTAGGATCAGGATAGAATCATTAAAACTCAAATAACACATTTAAGTAGTCTGGTTCTCAGCTTGATTTATTTACAAATATATGTAATACATTCAGTTCACTATCTTGCCCAGATTACTACTGCAGCCTCTTCTCCAAGTTGACAAGAGATAATATTAAAGAAAGAATTTATGTCAGCCCACATAGAGCTTAGACAAGAAGGCAGTCGGTAGAAGCTGACTTAGACAGGTATTCAGGTGAATTGAGCCAACAGTTTGATGGTATAATTCAGCAGAATAAAAGATTAGACTGCTGTTGCTAAAGAGGAAGATTAAAGTCTCAACTGAATGAACATCCTAGACAGGATACGTCTGAGGTTGAGATCTCCTACCTGAGTGATAACCTTTCCCTAGAATATAGGAGGCTAGTGTTCATGGTCTTGAATTTCCTAGGAACAATGCCACTAACCTCAAGTAGGCTGATTCTATAATAGAGCCTTGCCTTGCTTTGACAATAAGAACAAGGGCATTCTCCTTATTTCAGCCTTTTTGATTATAAAAATATATTTTGTTATATATTAATTAAACAGGACAGATCAGAGAGGTCAAAATAAGTAATGATGGATTAAAATGTAATAGTTAGTTAATTAATTATCCTTCTCTTCATCCCAGAGGTTTTTAAAACTATTCTCTAACCCCGAAGTCTGAAGAGTTGCTGAGGAGAGATGACCTCCTTTTCCTGGCACAGTTTCCTGTTCTGGGCTTCTCCCTGCAGCTTACACTGCAGCAAAATAGGCTAATGAATACCGCTATTGAACTGCTCATCTCCCTCACCTTCCTGCATGTCCAGCCTGGAAGCAAGGCAAGGCTCAACAGCTATGATCCACCCTGGGCATTGCTTGGCCCATTGCCCCATGATGATCTGAAGCATCTCACAACAGCCATAAAATGGCCTCCAGTAGCACCCAGAGCCCAAAGATGCCAAGAGAACAATGCAAGAACTGTGAATAGTAAACTGAAAGGGTTCCCTGGAGCGTCTCCTGTGTTTAAAATTTAAGTGTAGCCAGAGGTAGTGGCTCCCACAGACTGGTTTTTTTCCTAGGAAGCTAATGTCTCTCACTTGGTGAAAGCTAGAGAACACAGCTGAAAATTCTTTGTAGTACAGGAGGTGCAGGGTTGGAATGGGACAGCAAATATTAATTACTACACTGCGACTCAATTTTTCAGACAAAACAAAATAAAAAAGAACAGCAGCTCTATTCTCCTCCTCTAGAGGATGCAACTCTCCAGCTCTACTTTCTGCTGAGCAGAAGAACTTTCTGTTTCAGGTCTTTGAAAATATATCTGTACATACATACATACATACATACATACATACATTTATTTATTTATTTATTTATTTATTTATTTATTTGTTTGTTTGTTTGTTTGTTTGTTTGTTTGTTTGTTTGTTTGTTTGTAGCACCACAGAGCCCCATGCCTTAGCTGTCCTGACAGCTAAGTGCTAGTTGATATGCAGCCTTGCGAGTCGAATGTTTTGGCTCCCAAACACTGAGTGTTGTGGTTTGCGAATGTTCTTTGGAACCCGAACGTCTGACGTGGGTTCCGCAGCTTATTTTCCGCAGCAGCTTATTTTCCGCAGCAGCCAGTCAGAAGCTGCTCCTTGGTTTCCAAACATTTAGGAAGTCGAACAGATTCCATTCAACTTATGAGATATGACTGTATTGTGCTTTTCCACTGGAATTTGGAGACTATTCAGCAACTAAGTATAACGTTTCAGCTCATTTCTGCTCCACAGTTGCTAATAACCAGGTGTTGGTTTTTCAGTCGAAAGAACAATAGAACATGTTTCTCTGTATGTGCTAACGAGTCCTTTTATCAACTGAAATCAAATGAAACATTCAAACATGATCCAAAGACTAGTCTACTATTGGATGCCCAGCTTCAAGAGTTTCATAATTGCATCATGATCCTGAGGACTTTGCCATTCTGGAAATGAGTGTGTTTGGGCATGTGACCCTTTTCTATTTTTCTACAATCAAGCAGTATACCAAAATGTCTGCGTACATGTGTAGCATATGCCTTCAAGTTAATGCGGTGTTTTTGTATTTTGCCCTAGTATGCACAACCTCCAGCCTTCAGCTCAGGACAAACACAACTCTGCTAATTTAGATTCACAGTTGCAAGAGCAAGAACGCATCATTACCATATCATACGCACTGGCTTCTGAAGCCTCTCAGCGGAGCAAGGAGGTGGCAGGTATTGCTCAGTTATTTATAAAGCAATGGCTTTGACAATATGTTCTTTTAATCCTATGGCTGCAAACTTCTAAGGTTTTGTGTTCCTTCTGGACTGCAGTACATACCAGGAACAACAGCAAGGCCATATCTACCCTTTGGGGTATACCCAGGCAAGTGTTCTTTGAATGCACTCCAGTGTAGTTGTGAGACACTGGATTTACACCATGGACTCACCTGCACAACATAAATGGGTTGCTATCAGTGTTGAGCACAGTGTTACCGCAACTTGAAGCAATCAGAAGCAATATCATGAGTGGGGGGGGGGTGCAAGTACATGCCATATATATATATATTTACTGGGAATCGCTCTACCATGGTTCCATATATTCTAAAACAGTAGCATGACATTGTTGTCTCAATACACGAAATTTTTACTACTCTGATTTGGAACTGAAATGGCAAATACTGTATCAAGTTGTTAGGGACACCATTTTTTTAAACAGCCTGGAAACTTATTGCAAAAAGCTGGATAGAAGTTTGACAACTGGAAATTAAATTGCATTATTCAGCATTATGTCAAAGCAGCCCCTGTGTGTACAGCTGTGCTGGCAGGTTCTCTCTGTACTTGCCTGCACAATACGGCTTCAAAATGGATCAGACTCTGCTGAATGATTCGTTACTCAAGGGGTAAAATTCCATCTTTGTTTCCCATTCCCTGCAAGCCTATGTTTAACTGTTATATCTTGCACTCCATCTTCTCATCTGTTTCTCTGCCCATGTATGTAGAATGCTCAAGTAGAAAAGGCATAAAAATGAAGTAGTGAATCTGGACTAACTTGTAGTACTGTTCCAAGATTTAAAATTGGTGAACGCATTTGATTTTTCAAATTATTATTGATATTTTAGTGGTTTTAATTTTCGTAGAACCTAGTGTAGTAAAACCAAAAACTTTAATATTTGCACAATGTACATTAGACAAACAGCATGAGCCAGAAACAGCAGATGAAGATGTTATCACTAATTACATTTTCCTTGTAGCTCAGTGCTTCAGTACTATTACATTACTAATATAGCACATTCTTCTCAATTTGTCTAGCAGGGCCTGCAGCCTTCCCAGGTGGCTTTATGTTTTATTTACTGATTTCAGTTTCTATCCCATACTCAGGAAAAGTAAACAATTTTGAATCACAACACAATAAAATCACCAAAATATAATATCCAGGGTTTTTGGGTAATTCCTGTAAATATTGACTGACGAGTTTTTGTTTTGTTTGTTTTTAAAAAACCTTGCATGATTGCAAAGTCCTATTGCCTGCTTTACATCAGCCAAAAGTCGAGGCACAAAACAGGAATTCTGTAGATATTCAGGTTGAGACTTTGATACATCACTAGGGCAGGGGTTGCAAAACTGCAGGCTGCACCCAACCCACAAATCTTCTTCTGGTGCCACCCCCTCTCTCCCCATGCCAAATTGAGCACATCTTCCTTCACTTACCATGTAGAAGCACTGCTGCCTCATTTGGCATAGTGTCACTGCAAGGTTATAGAGCTCAGAAAACAGTTCCTCCCTACTCCAGTGCCAAGAGGGGAAAGGTTCCTCCCTCTCTAGTACAGCGCTGGGGTGGAGAAAAGAAACGTTTTTTGGGGGGGGCAGTACTGAGCAATATTTCTACAGGTCAGGGAGTGGAGCTCCCCATCCTCTTTTTGTACAGGCAGAAAGCTTAAAAAAGAAAGTTGGGAGAATTTTCAGTCATTTTTAACATTGCAGGAACTGGCTTTTTGTTGCAGAATTTGGCATACCTAGGCACAGAATTTGTTTACTTCTCCGTGACCCTTTCCCCTCTGCAGGGAAGTGGGACCGATTTGGATGGTCTGCCCACGCCACTTAATGAATCCAAATGGTTTCCAGAGAGTAATAGGGGGTGTTTTATCCCATGCTCATGGCCTTTCAGCTGATTTCCTGGTGGCCCACTGGAATGCGGAGTTAACCAGGGCTATTGACTGTCTGGCTCTGAAGCACCCTCTCCGATTGCATGGAGCCCGGACAGCCCTGTGGTTTTCCCTGGAGTTGAGGGCAATGAAACAGTCACTAAGATGGCTGGAATGCCGGTGGCAGAAAACTCATTCTGAGTCAGAATGAACATGGGTTAGACACCAAATCAGAATGCAGCAGCTGGACTGGTGACTGGGAGCGGCCACTGAGACCATATAACACTGGTCCTAAAGGATCTTCACTGCCTCCCAGTACGTTTCCGAGCACAATTCAAAGTGTTGGTGCTGACCTTTACAGCCCTAAACGGCCTCGGCCCAATATACCTGAAGGAGCATCTCCACCCCCATCATTCAGCCCAGACACTCAGGTCCTCCTCCGAGGGTTTCATGCTGGTTCCCTCACTGTGAGAAGAAAAACAACAGGGAACCAGGCAGAGGGCCTTCTCAGGAGTGGTGCCCTCCCTGTGGAATGTCCTCCCTTCAGATGTCAAAGAGATAAAGAATTACACAACTTTTAGAAGACATCTGAAGGCAGCCTTTTATTGGGAAGTTTTTTACGCTTGATGTTTTTTGTTTTTAGATATGCTGAAAGTCGCTCAGAGTGGTGGGGAAACCCAACCAAATGGGCGGAGTCTAAACAATAAAATTATTATTATTATTATTATTATTATTATTATTATTATTATTATTATTATTAATGTACAGTACTAAAAAGACCTAGCTGCACTGGCTGCTGACCCTGCTGTCTTGTATTCCAGCCCACGTGTCTGTTGTGTGTGACTGTAAAATCACGGTGCCTAATTCCTTTGTATGATCCCTTCTAGCTCCGCAATTGACCTATCCATCTAAAGCACCCTCACCTTCTGTACCTCAGCCACCCCCCTTAAGCAATGGATTTCACTACACATTTGTCTAAGCATCTTGAAAGTAAGAACTAACTGCTCTTGGCTGCTTATTTTGTCATTAATTGTATGTTTTAACATTGTTGGTAGCTAACTTGATCTTTAAGTGTAAACGTAACCCTAATTAATGCATGCAGACTTTAGTGATCTAAAAGATTCCTGCCTCCTGCTATTAAAAATTACCTTATGAAATATATATGAGCTCATAGAAATGTTCAGTAATTGCTGTGAGTTTGGGATTTTGATTGCCTCATCACTATGATGTAAAGTTTAAAGAGAAATGTTTAGATGTGGCATTTCATCAGCAACGTACTAAAGATTACACCTTTAAAAAGGTATCTAATGCAGCACATGTGCTAAATGGCAAAAATAATCCCTTCCTGTATTAAATGGAAAATTTGAACCGTTTGAAACATACTACTGGTGGGATGCAGGTGGCGTTGTGGTCTAAACCACAGAGCCTAGGGCTTGCCGATCCAGAAGGTCGGTGATTTGAATTCCCGTGATGGGTTGAGCTCCTGTTGCTCGGTCCCAGCTCCTGCAACCTAGCAGTTCGAATGCACATCAAAGTGCAAGTAGATAAATAGGTACCGCTCCGGCAGGAAGGTAAACTGCGTTTTCGTGCGCTGCTCTGGTTTGCCAGAAGGGGCTTAGTCATGCTGGCCACATGACCCGGAAGCTGTACACCAGCAACCTTTGGCCAGTAAAGCGAGATGAGCGCCACAACCCCAGAGTCATCCACGACTGGACCTAACAGTCGGAGGTCCCTTTACCTTTACTGTTGGGCTGGGTCTAGGAAAAAGCCTCCATCAACGGAATAGCTGTCATTTTCCTAACCTGTTGATTCCATAATTTTCCATATGAGAAATCTTTGCCATGAATTGAGGCATCTATTTTTGCCACAATTATAGCAATTGTAATTATTCTACAAAAGGAAATTTCATTTCCCTCTGTATTCCCATTTCTCTACCATAGTGCAGTTGGCATATAACTCCTCTTTAATTCCACCTACAATTTCACAATTTATAATTTTAAGGATTCCTTCTTATCAGTACAAGTATAAGATTTCAAAAGAACTTTGTGTTATGAGCACTATTTATAATTTTGGAGCGCTTTACTGTTAAATCTTAGGATATCATCTGAAGAAAATATTAACAAGGGCCCAGAAGTCACTGTTTACACTGTCACAGATTGCTGTCCCAGACTTAAACTTCTCAAGATTGCTGTCCCAGACTTAAACTTCTCAAGTTCTTCTTTTAAAATGGTTTGTCAAAATGAGATAGACCTTACTTTAGGAGGGCAATCATAACTGACCCATTTGTCCAGGCCTGAGGAAGGTATTTTTCATTGTTGAGGATGTTTAAATGCTTTTGTGATTAATACATTGTTTTATGACTTTGGTTGCTCTGTGCTCCCATTTGGGAGGGAGGGGAGGATATTAAAAAGAACAAGTAAATCACTGTGACATTCTTCAGGAATTCCTCAAGCTGCCATGGGAACGAGATGGGCATTTCCCCCCCCCTTTAGTATACTCTTAATCCTGATCACCAAAACCCACCATATTTAATCAAAATGGTTTTAAAGGTTTTATGGGCAGTGTTCTTCACATAATATAGACATATCTCAATGAGTGAAAGTACCCAAAACAAGCCTTCAGCTTCACTGATAATATCCTCTTTCCTTCTTCAAAGACTAAGAAACTTTAAACTGAGGTGAAGCAAAACAATTAGTTTGAACTGGGATAGTATTGATTGCATTCTCCATTGCCTATGTAGTATCAAGGTATATTGTAAGCAGTATGCTTATTTGGCTACATTTACAAACTTTCTGAAGCACCTAGTGTTCATGAAACATCCATTAGCGTGCCATTAAAGGATATTGATGGATTCATCCTTTTGTGGATGTGTGTGCTAAACCTGTTGCAATAATATCTAACTTCATTGTTTTTCTTCAAACTAGCCAAAGCAGTAAATGAACGCTGATCCCTGATACAAACCCGTAACAACCACCTGAAGAAGAGAGCAACACGGAGGAAGACTTCCCTACATTAGCTTTCTCTCTTGTTTATTTTTTATTTGAACACACATTACAAATAATAACTGCACAGAAAAAGTTTTGTACAAAAAGAACAATTGTTTATATAAACAGCACTTTTAATATACTATATTATATATTGACATTGTATATTGGCATTGGTTACAACCCTGCACAATCAACTGCATTCAATTCCTGTTGATGTTAATAGGTCCTAATGCTTTAAAGTGCCGGATTGTGAGCCAATGTATTTTTAGAAACTATATATATATATATGATTTGTGGTTGGTTGGGTTTTTTAAAGGGCTGCATTCATTTAAAAGTTTGGATGCATGCAATAAAGGCAGGTGGATGTTTTTAGCTTCTTTTTTAAAAAAGGAAGATTTTCGGAAGCACATAGCATTTAGGTAGGAATAATGAAATCTTTTCCTATTTTTTCAGGGTTTATAATACATTTGTTACTACTGATTATCAGTCAGATAAAATTTTACGGAAATATTCAAAATTTCAATGGTTCTGGAATCCCATGCAAAGAGCAAAAGGCAGGTACAAAACATTGCTAATAGTTGTATGTCACTGTCCTTTTATTATGTAGCTTAGTCCAAGCAAACATTGTCCAGTTACTATTTCAAATATATATTTTTCTCTTTAACTTAGGGTGTGGGCACTGAAATATTTTGAATGTGATCTGGTTTCTATCCCACTGCAGATGAAGCATCTGTGAACTACAGAGAGTTATCATAGAGGTCAATAGAGCCTCTATTCCTACTCCCTACTTCCCTCCTTAAGAGCTGAAGCATGACTGGCCATTAAGTGGAATGTGAGATCTGGAGCACCTTTCACTCTTTTTGCCTAAACATGAGTTACTCATGCTCTGAGCTTGAGTAACTTGTGTCATGCAGAGAGGGAGAGCAGGGGGTATGCACAAAACCTCCAATTCCCTATAATAGCTTGTGCAAAGACAAGAAGAGGGAGTGAAGAGAAACTGGTCTTTTGAGCCCTTTTCTGCACATGGGTGCTGCACCTGAGATGGGACTGGATCACCCATGGAAACTGAAATATGTAAAGTGAACAATGCAAATATTAATAGAATGTATACTTTTACATCTATATTCTTTTTTAATTAACGTTTTCAACAACAAAAAAGCAAAAAATGGTTTGCTATCAGTTGTTAGCTTTGTATAGTAATTCAGCTGGTGCCCTCAGTTTTGCTAAAACTTTCAAGTATATTTTCTTGAGTCTTGGACAAAAGGCTGGCACAACTGGAGAGAGAGTTCATGAGATGCTGGTGCTTTTTTACTTGAAAGTGTGTGTGTGTGTGTGTGTGTGTGTGTGTGTGTGTGTACTCAACAGTGTGTGCTTTGCAACAGCTAATGCGCTGTTCATACTGAGTGAATTCAAAATGAATTCACACATAATTCAGTGCATTGTCATATTTACTGCGGCATTCTGCTATAGTGCACTCCTTTTATACAGAAGATATGCAAGAATGATATCAACTCACTTGAAGTATTTTGTAACAGTGGTGTAAGCCATTAGAACTGCAAGTAGGAGGCCGAGACAGGCTGCCTTTTATTCCCCAGGAGCGGACCTGGGGGAATCTGATGTTTCCACAGGCCCACCCACAGGGAGGTGTCCACCTCACAGGCCTGCCATTGATTGGCTGAATTTGGTCAGGCCTGAAACCAAGGTCCAGCCAGTGAGACTAGGCCTGGCTGCCCCGCCAGCTGGGAAGCCCCCAACAAACAGGGCTTCCTCTAGAGTGTGGTGTGACGCATCAGGACCCAGCCACAATACCACCACACCCAAAGGGTGAGCGGACTTGTCTTACTGCTGGTCTATATATTACACTTGCTTCATGGACTTTGCTGCAAACCACCTATTCATTTTGAGGACAGCCTACATTCCATCCCCCACCTACCACTAGGAATATCCAGCAGCAGTGAAGACTCATGAAGATCTCCAAGCAGTGTTAGATATGCACATTGTAAGCTGTTCTAGACCTGCAGGTGCAGAACACTTGCAATGTAGAGGCTGTCTGACTGGCCATGCTGTGGGGAGTGTAGTATATAGATTGGCAGCTAGTTGTTGCAGTACTTTGCCATGACGCAGAAGTCTGCAACTGCAAAATCTTCCCAGTCTCTTTTCTGATAAAATTCTATGTGAACAATGGAGAACTTTGCCTTCTCGTAGATGAAAAAGGGGAAAACCCGATGCTCATGAGGTTCCATAGTCAGTTACAGGCTTTCTTATCATTAGCAATTATTAATGAGTTTTACAGTATATGTGGGGTGTGCTTTAGGCATTAAATGTGTGCAGAATTTGTTTAGGATGTCACTGCCCTGTTAGTCTCCCAGATAAGAGATAAGAGATGTAGACTAACTGGAGATAATTGGTAGTAGCCAGTGAGGTTGTCTTGTTTGTGGAAGGACCTCCACTGGTGCAATGCCCTTCCCTTCCTTTTCCTCTCCGTTTCAGAGGGTTGGGGGAGTGTCCAGAAAAGATGGGGAGACATGCAGGAGAAGGAAATGAAGGAGAAGTTCTGTTGCACTAGCAGAAGTCATTGTGTGAAAAGGACTTACTTTGTTTTTGTACAGCAGTTCCCTGCACTGCATGGCAAACTAATGAGGTGATGCTGCCATTCAGTGAAGTCCTCCTAGGGAGCATGCAGGTCTTTTGGTATGGTCAGATAATCTCTCTGGATACTGGCCCACACAATTTATTGGGATGGAATGGTCAAAATAAATGTGACAAATTCAAGTGTTCAGGAAGTGGTGGGTAGGGTTAAGGCTGGATTAATTTATTAATACTTTGAGAGAAAGAGATGCAGAAGCTAGTCTGAGGAAGAGGTTAGATATGATTACGCTAAAAGCAGGTCTGTGTTAAAGAACAATTTTCTTTTGCAACTTTGTGTTTGTCGACCTGTGTATTCAACCTGTACGCTTGTGGGGAAATGACAGGGTAGATAATTTTTCCTACTCATAAATTCTCTCTCTGTAAGACAAACCCACGTGTGTAGTGGCTTTAACCTTTTTTCTCAAACTCATTCTTGTTATCTGTGTCTCTTGAAGTGGTGACAAATCCATTCTAATACAATTCCAGTTTTCCACTTCCTTTTGTTAAGGGCAGTTCAGAGATGGATTTAGGAATGTCTACTTCAGCAGTTGCCATTTAGCTTGAAGAAAAGTTTCACAAAAAGAAAAGTCCTCCCCCCGCCATTAGTAAGATATTGGGAAGTTATTTAAAAGTGTTGGATCCAGACTTCGCTTCTCCTCTTGAAGATAGAGATGCTGGAGACAAATTTTGGCAATACCCTCTGCAGCCCCCAGTGCCCCCTCACACTGTTCTGGAGGGCTGGGAGACCTGCAGGAGATAGGAAAAATTGGAAAATGTCACCTGCCTCTTTCTGCTACTGGGATCCATCGGATAGATCAAAGCCTTCCATATACAGAAGCCTTCCCATCTGTGGAAGGTAAAAGTCTAGATCCAGTCCTCAGTCTCCACCTAACTTATTGCTCTTATCAAAAAGTAACTGTGATGGTGTTTAAAATTATCAAATAAAAAAATCTTACTCTATTTTGACTATGCTTGGAAGCTATTCTTGAGAAATGTATTTAGAAAATGGAGTCTATTTTTTACTAACTGAATACTGCCTGTGTCAAGTCTGTAACATTTTGCCAAAATGAAATTATTTTATTTTTGCCTTTATTAAAATGTAGAAATAAATATTTTGCCAGAAAACATTAATTTAAATAAAATGTAACAGTTTGGGGGAAATGTAAATGTACATATTAAACTATTAACATAACACTGGAACTGCCTTTGGATGTTCAGATATGGTTCATCTAATTTGGGGCTTGGCTTGGCTTGACTTTTAGTTACTGGTGTTACTAGCACTGATTGAAGTCCACAGTAAACTCTGTGAGAGGTTTTTCCTGAACAGTAGGATTTGAATCCATCCCTAATACTGTATTTTTACTGTTCATATACAATGCTGTAGTGCTTGGTGAGTGTCTCTAACTCCTGGCTCATTCTTTATCACCACATCATAGAGATTCCACTGCTGGAAGAGAAGGTGATTCCATAATACAAAATAGCATTTTGGTGCAGTAAATTGGATTTGAATGTAGGAGCCCCAGATAGAGCCTTGCTGAATGGTCTTGGGCAACTCACAGGATGGCTAAGTGCATCCAATAGGACATGCTATAATTTACACTGAGCTTTCGGAAGTTCCAGAGTGGCTTTTGGGTTGGTTGCAGATACAACTGAATGTATCACTGATTATATTTGTTCAAGTATAATCCTATACTGTCAAGCTGTTGTTTCTTTGTTCTTGGTCACTGTGGCGCTAAATAAATTGCCCTGAACCCTGGCATACCCAGAGGTAAGTCGTGAGAGTGCACACAGTCCCAAGGGCAACGCTAGATAGGCAGACAGTCCAAATGGTCAAATACAGGTCCAAGTCCAATGCAAAGAGCAAGTTCCAAAGTCAAACCATCAGGCCAGGTTCCTGCCTTTGCAGAAGACCCAGGGTTGGAACACCTGGGGGTCAGTCCCAAAATCACAGTCCAAAAGCTGCCACGCTCTGGCCCATCAGCAGAGAGAGCTGAGCAGACACAGAGGCTTTTGCCTTGCTTCCCTTTTATCCTTCTCAATCTTGATTGCTGCATCTGTGTTTGCTCCCGCTGAGCAGCTGGGCCTCTCCACTTGACGAGGCATGTGATCCTCACCTGCACTGAGCCTAATGCAGCTGAGGGACCACAAACCTCCTCCCAGAACTAACGAACCTCATAGTCCTCACCTGGCCACTAGTGTGCTGGGCTGGGTTCCCTTGCCTGCCTCATTCTCCTAGAGGGCACCTTCCTCTGGCTTCCATGAACTGTCAGCTGCCCCTTCAATGTCCTCCAATGTCCTGTGAGTACCTCCTAAGTCCCCAACCTCACCTTCCCTGTCTTCCTCTTGTCCCAGTTTGTGTCAGTCGTGGCTACACACCTCATCCGTATCCTCCTCCCCTTCCTCAGTGTCCTGCCAGTTCGTGGCATAAATGCTTTGTAAGCATCCACAATAATTGTTTTTGAATTATTGTGTTAATTTTCTGGAAGATGTGAAACTTTGCACTGTGGCATTCTGTTCCAGGGTGTATATCAGTCTCCCCCCACTTTTCTTCTACTTATCAGTAACACGCACTTGTGCATGTGAATACGGTAATTGCTAGAGTCATACCAGGCATAGTTTTAGAATACAAACCTGTGAATGTTATCTGATGCTTAACAGGGTAATCTTATACTCAAATGTAAGGGTGAGTTCAATGGGGCTTGTTCCCATGTGAATAAGGTTGCAGTCCAAGACTGTATCACAGGAAAGTAATTTATTGTGTCTAAAACCCATCAAATTTGCTTTAAATAGCCTTACTTCAGCCTAAACATTGCTTCTTTTCTAAGTTGCAAATGTATTTTCTCATCTGCCATCTTTTTGACACTTGATTTAATGTGAATTTTAAATAGTTAGAATAACGTGCATATTGTGTATACAGAAACTTGTCAGTCTTCATTTGTAATTGTGGCAATGTGTTACACAGACACTCTTGTCCTGTAATAGGCATAAGGCATTAACCAAAGAAATGTCTGGCAAGGCAACCGGTTGGAATTTTAAATACGTCAGTAGCAAGGGACCCACATCCAAGTTGCACAATGTCTTGCTTCACACTCTGGATAATTCTGAGTTTGATCAAACTCAGAACTGTTGAATGCCACAATATGAATGAGAAGACCGCTTTATTTGAGAACTAGGTATGCATGTAAATGTTGTGACCATTAAAAATCCAGAGGTGGTGAAGGGAAGCTCCAAGTTAAGCTTCTTAGAAAATATTCTCTGTTTTATAGTGCTATCAGGTGAAACTTAAATTAAACTGGGCAATCCAGCCATGGGAATTCTGTGCCATGACACTGCAAGCTATTGTAGCCACCTCACAATCCAAAGGGCAACAGCAGGATACATTCCCTGGGCTAATGAGCTGAATATATCATAATGCTTCCCCAAAACTGGTCAAAGTTAGCAATGGATATTACCTCAGTGGAACTTCCTTACCCTCTATTCTAACGATTCTGCTCCAGATCTGCTCTCGAGCAGGAAAACACAGAACAAATTAAGGGTGTGTGTGAGACGAGGATTTTTTGTTGAATACCTGGTGGTACATTTATTTTTTAAGCCCCATTGCTTTCAATGAGTGTTAGGCAGCAATCCAAAGACCTGCCCAGCCGTTGTAGGGCTTAATGTAGCAGTGTAATGATCACTGTATCCACAGCCCAACCACTTGCAGTAGCCAGGGTGGAAATTGGGGAGGGTATGAAAAAGTGCCTCTTTGCTATTCTGCCTCCTAGCTTGGTGCAGACTCTGATTGGCCCTACTCTCTGTCTTTCACCTGGCATAGGTCATGGCCCAGGCAGTTTCTGCACTGAAACCAAGTACAATGGTCATCCAGATGGTCAGTCTCATCCAATATACTCTTTAGTGCCTTACCCAAAAGAGTCTGTAGTTATTACAATACTTGGGGTCCAAAGATGCTTTTCAAGAGCTGACTGAAATTCTCCATCAATCGAGTCATAGCTACCTATCCCCTCTTCCAATGGCCATCTTTTACTGTTAGGAAAAGCTTGAATTGGCCCAACGCCAACTCAAAGGACCTACAGAGTTCAGAAGCACACAGCAAATTCTGGAAGTATTTTCCTGTTTCCCATCCACTCACAATTTCATCCGCTTGCACGATTGGAGAAAAGTTGTTTAGAGTTCGCAGAAACTTTCTGGCACTTGCTCACTCCCCTTAGAATAGTCTATCTGTCGTTGCTTTTCTTAAATATACTTCATGAGTTATGGGACCGCCAGTTACTATCATTAGTGTCTCTTATTTACACGTAGTCCAGGTTCAGACTAATGTGTACTGCTACTTAATGGTTCTTGTTTCCACCTATTAGCAACAATATGCTACTGGAAGTATGGACAGTAACACTTGTGGCTTTGATCATTGTTAACTATGGTAAATGAATTCCCGGTTCTCTCTAGCATGCGTGCCAGTCCCAGGAAAACAATATTAATATTACAGGTTTCAAAATAAACAGCAAATGTATTGACAGCTAATAAGTTAGCTTCACCCAGGATTTTTTTCTCACTTGAATGGCTTTCTCAAAAAATGTGTCTGTGTGACTTTCATAGCAATTTATTTTGTACACTTGAGAGATAGTATCAGTACTAAGACACAAACTTCAGATGTTGGAAAGGCATGCTTTTGAGGCTCTAGTCCTCTGATTTCTGTTTGTCTTTCTGTATTTGAAAACATTTGCTAATGCAGTTTGTGTCTGAATTACATAGTTATAAGAAGTACAGAGGAGGCATGGAAAAATTGCTGTATGTTTTTGCCCAATATGCATTGCTATTGGTTGGTTAGCTGCATTCAAAAGGCTAAGACTTTTATTGCCTACTAGTGAAAGCAACCTTTCTTCATAGTGGAACAGTACAAAGGAAGAGCACAAAATGTACATACATCACAGTGCCTGGAATTCTGTTTGAACAAGTGTATTGATTGGGTCTGACCTCTTTACACTTTTTTCCATTATTTGAAAAGGTGCATCTAAGTGTAGCTGAATTGAACCAACTGAGATGAACTTTCCATGAAAACTTCTTGAGATATTTCTTTTAGTTCAAAGCTTTGGGATTTTTAAAGGGCATTTTTAATACAGTCTGTTGAGGTGTTCTGCGCTGCAGCCACACTTTGAATGTTTTAAACTACAGGTAAGTCTGAGAAGAAGGAAGAAAACGGAGGTGTTGCAGGAGTATCATGGTATGGAGAAATAGTAACCTTTTGGCCTATGGAATAAATAAAAATGTCAAATAATGCTTTGAGAGAGAACTTTATACTCCTGTGTGCCACATTAGCATGCTGCTTTGGAATCACAGAAAGGTATCTGAAAGAGATCAGCCATTCCAATTGACTATTTTGACAGCTAAACAATTCATGACATGCTTGTACTGAACTTTCCTCAAATATCTCTTAACAACAGATTTCACGACGGCTGGAGCGAATGTTCTTCATGGCCCATTTAGTTAGCCAGTGGGCTACACTGTATCTCATAAAGGCACTAATCAAGGCACAGGACAAAAGAGAAAAGCATTTTTAACGTGTCTGATTTATTTAAATAAGAAGCAAGAAAAAAATGAAAAACTAAAAATTATGTTAAAATTGGAATGTGAATTAATAGCACCCCCATTTTTCAGTGAACCTGAGACAAAAGGAGTAAGAATGGAGATATGGAGGGGAAATGTGGAGTCTTTGCAAAAAGTGTCTCTTAAATTGCCAACAAAGATATTCAATATGTCAGGTGGTTCTTGCTAGCATGGTAAATACCCGCAATCAAAATATCCATGTTTTTGATATGGCAAACTACATGGGGCAGTGGCTCTGCGATACAGCCATAGTTCATGGGTAACATAAATCAGGTAAAAGGGCAAACTTAAGAATGAATGTGTCAGTCCCTGAGGTTTGTGTTTTGTTCTGGGGAAATCTTATGGTTGCTTTGGGCATATTTATGTGCATACAAATGGAAATAGTAGTAGTAATGATAATGATGATGATGTTACTCTGATCCATAAAGCTGAAGGTATCAATCAGTGAAGTTGGTAATCCTTAGCTAATGTAAGTAGGATGCCTGTTTGTGTGAAGGTAGGATTTGGAGCAGGGAAGCCAGTGTTATGCCCTCCAGATATTATGGACAAGTCCCATAATTCCTGACTATGGGCCATGCTGTCTTGGGCTGATTGGAGTT